CATACCAGAGGGGCGGAACACTGGTGGCAATTTCACTACGTCGCCAGTTGTTCAGATTGGGAGACCATCATTTCGGACGTTGGAGGAATTATTTAAGGAGCATTCACGTCTCTGTATGGAGCTTGAATATGCAGATCCTCAAGCTACCCATATGGAAAAAGTTCAAACACTACTCGGAGCAATACCAGATCGCTTCAAGCATGTGGTGGCGGCTGTCCTCATGCTTCCTGAGGCAGTTCTTAAAAAGAAACCTCTCGACGACTTACATCGTATGTTCTTAGATGCCGAGATAATTCAGCGACCACAGCGACAGGTGCCAAACGTGGCGATGGTGGTCAACCCAAAAGACAGCATCAAGTGTTTCGGATGTAATCAGATGGGGCACTACCGAAATAGATGTTCCAATGAAGCAAAGAAAAAGAAATTCATAAGAAAGAATTTCAATCAACCACACATGGGAAAGAAAGATCGAGAACATGCTTTGATGGTTTCTACCAGACCGATAAACCGAAAACAATTTGTGATTGATTGTGACGTGTCTATTATGAGTGATGTCGAAAATCTGGATGTTGATATGATTATCACTACAGCAAAAGAGGGAGAATCGATGAAAGCTACCAAAAGAGGATCGGTAGCTCTGAAATCTGTCATTGGAAGAAATAAAATAAAGAGTTTGAAGCTGTATAATTGTCTCTTTATTCCTGGGCTACAGGAAAATCTGATTTCCGTGAAAAGAGTTGTTGCTCTAGGGAAGGAAGTCCATTTTTCCAATAAATCTGTTGTCATTCAAGAGAAATCTGGTGAGGTTATTGCTAGAGGTCACCTTTTGAATGGCTTGTATTATCTCAGTGTTTATGGATCCTCTGCCGAAAACAAAGCAATGTTGTGCAAGAATGACGATTTGATTCACTGGCATAAGCTATTTGGACATCTAGGACTATCAAACTTGGAGAAATTACATCGAAATTCAATGATTGAAGGATTTAATATTCAATCAAGTGAATTCAATAATTGTAAAATGCAATGTGATTCATGCTTGTTTGGGAAACAAACAAGAGAAAACTTCAAGAACTCGGATATGCCTCGCTCGAGCAGACCACTTGAATTAGTGCATTCTGATGTTTGCGGTTATTTCGAAGAATCCACCTTTGACGGATATCGATATTTTGTAACATTTATCGACGATTTCACGCATTTCACGGTGACATATCTTTTGAAACACAAAAGTGATGTACTGAATTGTTTTCAATTATATGAAGCAATGGCATCAGCTAACTTCGGTCAGAAGATAGCGTGTTTTCGTTCAGATAATGGCACTGAATACTATGGAAACGATTTCATACGATTTTGTGGAGATAAAGGAATACAAATGGTAGCAACTGTACCATATACTCCACAACAGAATGGCGTAAGTGAAAGAATGAACAGAACTCTTTTGGATAAGGCACGGACTATGCTCCACGAGAGTAATTTGTCCAAGGTGCTTTGGGTAGAAGCCATATATGCCGCTACCTATTTGACTAATAGGTCCCCAACAAATGCTTTATTGGAACATCCCCATATGAAATGTGGTTTAGAAGGAAGCCGAATGTTGATAAACTAAGGATTTTTGGTTGTAATGCATATGCTCAAATCCCTAAGGAGAAGAGGCAAAAATTAGACAAAAGGAGCAGATTGCTAAAATTCGTAGGATATGCGAAAAATGGATATAGATTGTGGAGTGAACTAACGCGTACCATAATAATATCCAGGGACGTGGTTTTCGACGAAGAAGTACCATCCACCGTTAATTGCAATGAAAACCATGAAAGCAATACTGCGGTCAGCAATAAAACTGACAGAGATACTGTCATTATTTCCCATGGAAGTCATCCAAGGGAGGAAATTATTGACAATAACCCAACAGCAACTACTGATGAAAATGGAGATGGAACCATTGATGAAAGTTTCGTAACAGCTAGCGATGATGATAGTATTACTGAAGCTGATCCAATTCAAGAACAACAGGAATTACCAAGAAGTGAACGCACACGACGCCCACCAAAATGGTTTGAGGATTACGAATCTGCATTTCTAGCAGATGGACAATTTCTAGATATTCCGCAAACAATTGAACAGTTAAAGCAGCGAAGTGATGCCATAATTCAGGAAATGAAGTCACTCGAGGAAAATCGAACATGGACCAAATTACAGAAATTTCTCAAGTGGGATACACTAAGAATATTCTGACTAGATTTGGTATGGATAACAGTAAACCTATAGCAACAACTGGAACCATTGGAAAGAAGCCATAATTCAGGAAATGAAGTCCCTCGAGGAAAATCGAACATGGAACCAAATTACAGAAATTTCTCAAGTGGGATACACTAAGAATATTCTGACTAGATTTGGTATGGATAACAGTAAACCTATAGCAACGGATGTCAATAACAAATGGGAAACTACAGATGATCCACTTACTAAACATCCATATAAAGAACTTCTTGGATGCTTACAATATCTGGCTTTGTCATCTAGACCGGATATCAATGCAGCAGTTAATATTTTAAGTAAATTTCAATCACGTGCAACAGATATTCATTGGAGCGGATTGAAGCGCATTTTGAGATACCTTAAAGGAACCATGGACACAAAGATTGTTTATAAAAAAAACATCTAGAAGGACCAATAGTGCAAGGATATGCAGATGCTGATTATGGAAATGACATAGAAGATAGGAAATCGATTTCTGGATATGTTTTCCAGGTATTTGGCAACATGGTTTCGTGGGCAACGAAACGTCAACCTACTGTGAGCCTTTCATCAACTGAAGCAGAATTAGTTGCTTTATGTACTGCAACTAAGGAAGGAATGTGGCTATCCAACTTGTTGACAGAATTGGAAGTTGATAACTTACCAATTGTCATATATGAAGACAACATCCCATGCATCAACTTTTCAAAGGAACCCCGAGAACACCAGCGGATGAAGCACATAGACATTAAGTTTGTTTTTATCAGGGATATTATTAAAAGAGGACATTTAAAGATAATTTACAAACCAAGCAATGATCAACCAGCAGATGCATTGACAAAGCCATTGTCAAAAATACAACATAAACACAACAAATTCACGAAACTGATCCTAGAGCTCTGCGGTTTTTTTTTAATACATTAGGAACTGCGATATAAAAAAAATTGGGGCCGTGACATAAACATGTCCCTGGACGGCCATGAGACCGTCCTCTGGAAGATCCGGAACATCCGTAAAAGTGGACAATCCATGAAACTGATCCTAGAGCTCCGCGTTTTTTTTAACATTAGGATCTGTGATGATATAAGCAATTTGGGGTTGTGACATAAACATGAACCTGGATGTCTATGTGACCGTCCTCCGGAAGATCCAGAACATCCGTAAAAGTGGTCAATCCATGAAACTGATCCTAGAGCTCCGCAGTTTTTGAAAAACACTAAGAACTGAGATGATATAATTAATTTGGGATCGTGACATAAACATGGACCTTGATGGCCATGAGACCGTCCTCAGAAAGATCTGAAACATCCGTGAAAGTGGAAAATTCACGAAACTGATCTTAGAGCTCCGTGGTTTTTTTGAAAACGTTAGGAACTGTGATATTAGAATGAATTTGGGATCGTGACATAAACATGAACCCAGATGGCCATCGGACCGTCCTTCGGAAGATCCGAAAAATCCGTAAAAGTGGTCAATGTATGGAACTGATCCTAGCGCTCCACGGTTTTTTCGAAAACACTTGGAACTGTCATATATAAATTAATTAGCAATCGTGACATAAACATGTACCGTTCCGTTGTCTCCAGGATCCATATGTAGGAACTATGACTGTTTTTTTGGCAAATTGTGAACATGTGTGCCCATTAATCTAAATTACAGATCTTGCGCCACTTGCAAAACCCTACAAACCCACTTTTCAAAAAAAAAAAGAAAAAAAATGTGACAACTCTTTTCGCTTTTAAAAAAGTAGATGACTCTATTTTCAATATTTTTGCAATCAAAATCATCTACAAATCCTAGGAATTCTAAAGATACCACAATTTTTGAAATTCATTAAGAAATGGCTAAGTTATGACATTGCAAACTTGCCGTTACACGTTTTTCGGAGGCTTCGTAGTCGGCGTAAACACGGCGTAACACTGTATTCGGAGTGTTAAGACAAATGTTATAGATACACAAAACAGGAAATACACTGAAAATTAAATTTCACATCATCTTCTCATTTTTATGACCGTATACTTTACTGACAGGAATTACCTTTCACCCTGTAAACTTTCATCTCGCAATCTATCGTATAAAAATTACCACTTTAGTCTGTTATTTGAAATTTAGCATCTTCAACTATGTAAATTGTGAAAAAAAAAATGCGAAGGTGTTCGACAGAAAAAGAAAGCTAGCAGTCTCTTCGTCGCATCGATTTTATCGATTGATGCTGATATTGTGTCACCCTGACCCTCATTTCGTTGAGAACTTATCTTACTTCTCTTTTCTGAATGCAGACTTGAACATTTTTATCGGATTGTAGAATATGTACTAAGTAGGGTCAGATCGCACCATAGGTGGAGAAATCCTGGTTTTTCATTGAACAAAATTTAAATAATATTATTATTTTATATTCAAAGAATGTGTTAAAGATTAGCAGCAGCTAAACCAGATGGGCAAAATGTTGGTGTCTTTATTTTAATGATATCATGGAATGCTCATAAAAGTGCCACACATAATCATATATTTGTTCGGACCGTCACCTTATTGCTGAACCCAATAATTAAAATTATAAGATCCGCTGAGCTCTACCACCGACTCATATTCAAACTATCATCATCATCATCATCATCATCATCGCCATCCAAATATCTTGTCGCGTAGTCTTCACTTTGCTCGATTCGCTACACCAGCAGACCGCGCGGTGTGTCAGTCTGCCGGTGCTGCCTCAGCTCGTTCTTTAGTAGTAGTGATTACCAGTTAGTAGTTAACTGGCAGTTCAGCTCGGCAGCATCTCGCAGCAGCTGACCCGTGGCTACAGTGAGTGGATTACTGGCAGTAGTTGATCAGCCGCGGCACTTGAAGCATCCAAACGAATTTGGATCGAGCGAACACGCCGCGTAGGAAGAGGATCATTCAAGACTTGAAGTTATCACTTTCTCAAAAAAAGATTCAACGATCGAGAATCTTACTCGGTGTTGCAGATCGCTGACATATGCTGGACATATGTTTGGTAGTTCTGATCGATGATCTCGGGGCAGTGCTGCTGAGTGCGGAATTTATTGCGTAGTTTAGTTGAATGGTGTCAGTTCGGGTGATGATGTTTGCAATATGTGTTTCCTCTGAGGAAATGGTCAACATCTACGCGATTTGCATAATGTTCTTCAAGCGCTAGTGAACGAGTACAATACAATTTAGTGTGAAGTCAAACAGACAGTGAATAAAACTACGAAAATAAATCGACCTGAACTGCGTTCGGTGAACGGAAGGGCCAACGGTGGCAGAATAAAATGTTAGCTAATTACTCAATTTGAATAATTTCCCACCGTGGCAGACAAACTCGCTCAGAGTGCCGTGCAACAGGTTGTTCGTGAAAGCAAGCTTAATCCGATCAGTGTTCAAAGTTTGGCTCACCGAGAATGCGCCATTAAATTGTAATTTATCACCAGACGACAGTGTGTTCAAAGTGAAACTAGTTTCATGATTGTTCAATTAGTTTCCTGCTGTTAAGTACCAATAGTCTCTACGATGGAACGACTCAACCAAGTGCTGACGAATCTACGAAGGATTGCCCTGCCAACGGTAGCAATTCTCATCGCTCTAGGTGCTCCGCAAAGTTTCGCATACCTAGAGGACCGGCCACCAGTCTATTTGGAGGCGAAAGTTGGTGCCTACGTTATTTTAAACTGCCCAGTGGATTTCCCCAAAAATGACCCCATCCCGTACGTGCTCCACTGGAACAAGGATGTAAGTTTTTAGCTGTATCGAAAGTGTAATAGATTTTCCTAGTCCGAAAGCTTGACTGACAGGCTGTCAAGTGCGCCTATAGTCGTCGCATCAACGGCCAAGCTAATTCGCTTGAAAACATAAACATATCGAATGACGCTGCTGGTGGGACATCCACTCTGTATACCGCTGATGGACTGACAACATCCCCACCCCCATCGATTTCTGTATCTCGCATCCTTCCCTGGCTTCGAACCTCTATAATGCAGTTAGTGCAGCTGGGATCATGTGTTGCATAAGCGAGCGCTAGTTGTGGTGTACCTAGAGCGTGGTTGATCGATGTGTGCATAGGATAGTTGAGCGTGTAAAGTGATGTACCGTAGCGCTCTAATAACCCCGGGATAGGGCAGCCTGGTAGAGTTTAAGGTCAAATCTATTACGGGATTTACGCGTGATATTGTTTTATCCGCAGTGTCCTCCTATGACATGTGTGCAGCCGTTCGCTAGCGCGGTGCATTATAATAGCGGGCAGCCGGCAGTGGTGGCTTGTTGGGAAACGAACGAGTGCATCTTCTGGAAGATGAGCCGGGATGTTTTTTACTGTTTTTATTTTTGTGTTGATTGAGGTGGTATTGGAATCAGGAATGGGGTCTTCTCTTTTAATTTGAACTTCATATTTCTTCTTCTCTTATGAGGCTTATGTCGTGGGGTTGGATGCATTTTAGCGTAAGGAGCCGAAGTCGGAGTCAAAGAAAAATTACGGACTCCAACTGTTATGATAACAAATAATTTAAAATTAGAACTCAATTGAGTGCAAAATTTTAGGCTCATTACCGATTCGATTGAATTTTAATGCATATCATGAAAACTAACATGAATCGTCTATACTGATGATTTTGATCTAATAAATCTGTTCATACTACAGATTTGAACAAATGCTTTCAAAATTCTTTTTTTTTTCTTTGATTTCAAGTTTTACGTTGACATGAAAACATTTCCAGGCTAAACAGAAAAAAAATAACCAATTTTTGACTCGATCTACTCCGATTTACATCAAAGTTTCCATAATTAATATTATGGGCTAAAATTTAAACATTTATTTTTTAAATGGCGTCTTTAACGTTTTTCAGTGAATGGTAGTTCGAAAACGTTACTTCAGACCGCAATGACGACAAAGTTGTAGAACGAAAAAACGTAGAACTTTTGTCAGCTTACACATGTCCAAGGTTTTAATATTTCAAAAGTTTGCATTTCACTTGAGTGTTTTTTTTAAATAAAATTTCAAATATTGACCAAGGAAGAGAATTTAAGTTTTAAATTACTCTTAATTTAAGTTCAATTCCGAAATCCAGCTGTTTTATTTAGAGGATGCACTATTCATATGCTACAGAACATATTATTTGATGCAATTTTGCTGGAGACACTATTTTTATTTTTTTAACTATTTATTTGTTCCAAATTAAAAATAAATTACATTCCATTTTAACCTTGGTGCTGCAGCTACTACAGTAACTTACCAGTCTTAACTGTTATGATATATATCTAAGTGTTTTTTACATTGTTCCTGTCTTGGAAATTCAGTATTTTAAACTGGTTTTCTAAACCTGCATGTCAGTATTACAATTGACATCTTAAAACTGAAAACTAAGACTAAATCTTATCTAAATATAAAGGGAATTAATCGTTGCAGTTGAGGATTGCAACGATTTCTGCCTGAAATTATTAATTATTTTGTTGGACATTTGTTCTAAAGTCTCAACATTCGACTGTAGGTCTGTACCAGGGAGTCAACATTAAAATAATCTTCAGAACTTTGTTCTGAATCCTTTGAAGTGCTTTTTTCCTGGTAGTGCAACAACTAGACCATATTCGTCAGGCAAAGTTGGGATTTCCTGTTTATAAGAGGATACAAACATTTTATATATTTGTTACATTTGGCTTGAATGATCTTTAAAAGTTAAATTTTGGTCAAGTACTAATCCAAAATATTTCACTTTGTTTGACCAGGAAACTGGAATCCCCTTCATAGTGACTATGTGACTACTACTAGGTTTCAAAAAGTAAGCTCTGTGGAAATATTATAAGTTGAGTTTTGGAAACGGTAGGAGAAATCTTCCATTTTTGTAAACAAGAAGAGAAAATATCTAAACTGTTCTGCAGTCTGCTGCAAATAACACGAAGACTTCTTCCTTTAGCGGAAATGCATGTGTCATCTGCGAAGAAAGATTTGTGGCAACCCTGAGGCAAATTAGGGAGGTCCAAAGTGAAAATGTTATACAATATAGGCCCAAGAATGCTACCCTGAGGAACTCCGGCTCAAACAGGTAGTCGGTCAGGTTTGGAATTTTGATAATTTACCTCCAGAGTTCTGTCAGTTAAATAATTTTGAACTAATTTCATAATATAGAGTGGAAAATTAAACTTTTTTAATTTAGCTATCAAACCTTCATGCCACACACTATCGAATGCTTTTTCTTCTCTAGAAGAGCAAGTCTAGTTGAGCTGCCTTCAGATTTGTTTGAACGAATTAAATTGGTAGCTCTTAAGAGTTGATGAGTAGTTGAATGCCCATGGCAAAATCCAAACTACTCATCTGCAAAAATCGAGTTCGTATTGATGTGAAGCATCATTCTATTCAATTTTATTTTTCAAATGTGTACTTTTTGAAGAAAGCAAACCTATTGTACGGTAGCAAAAAACTTCAGTTGGAGTTTTATCCAACCTCAAAATTGAAACAAATTTTGCCTTTTTCCATTTATCAGGAAAGTATGCCAAATGGAAACATCTGTTAAATAATTTGACGAAGAAAGACAAGGTACTCTCTGAGAGTTTTTTGATGAGGATATAGAAAATTCCATCATCACCTGAAGCTTTCATATTATGAAACTTTTTAGTTAAAGACCTTACTTCGTCCAAATCAGTCCCCCAGGAATCATCAAAAATATTTCCCCGTCAGAAAATATTCAGATAATCCCGACCAATCTGATTCTCAATAGGACTAGTAAGACCCAAACTGAAATTATGGGAACTCTCGAATTGCTTAGCAAGTTTTTGAGCTTTTTCCGAATTTGTGATCAAAATTTTACCACCTTCTTTAAGCGCTGGAATTGGCTTTTGAGGTTTTTTTTTCTCAAAATTATTGTGAGCGTCGAAATGGGTTTGGAGCTCGGGTCTAATTTCAAAACATTATTTTCAAAATTTGTGTTCCTCAGGGCAAAGAATCGCTTTTTAATTGTTTTTGCAAATCCCGCCAGATAACTTTCATGGCAGGATTGCTTGTTCTTTGATATTGCCTCCTACGGACATTTTTTTGACAGTTCAAGAGCTAAAGATCATCGTCTATTACAATTGTATCGAATTTAACCTCGCATTTTGGTAATGAGGCAGCTCTTGCTTCAACTTAAGAACTATTCAGAGATTCAAGAGCATAATTAACATCGTCTTTGGTTTGCAAGGGAATGTTTTGATCAAAGCTATATTCCATTAATGTTCGATATTGCTCCCAATCAGCTCTATGGTAATTTAAAGTAGAGCTGTTGGGATTACAAACTATTTCTTGGGATATTTCAAAAGTTGCTGAAAGGTGATCAGAACCGAAATCAGCATGAGTAACCAATTAGTTACAAAGTCGACATGAATCAGTTAATACCAAATCAATAGTTGAGGGATTTCTTGCTGAAGAAAAACATGTTAGGCTGTTTGGATATTGAATAGTGTAACGACCTACAGAACAATCATCAAACAGAATATTACCATTGGAGTTGCTTTGAGCATTATTCCATGAGCGGTGTTTTGCATTAAAATCACCAATAATGAAGAAGTTAGATCTATGACGGATAAGTTTCTGAAGGTCACCCTTGAGAAAATTCTTTTGCTGGCCTACGCATTGGAATGGCAAATAGGCAGCTATAAACGTAAGTTCATTTCATTTTCATTTTATGATGTACAAGGGGGTCAGGGGCCATGTCACCGATGTGAATATTCACACCATCCATAATACACCAGGAAAGGGGAGAGGAGTGGGCAACACAGCATCTTTACCCATGGGGGTTAAAAAAGTTCTGCGAGGTATACTTATGGTAAACCAGCTGCTCAGGGATTGTAGAAAGGAAAGGGTTGGGTAGGTTTTGTGTGAAAAGCGCATAAGTTATTATCGTATCGTTGAAAAATGGCCTCGTTTGGTTTGCGCTCTCGTCACAGAGCGCATCGATTACATCACACCGTCAATGAAAAAGAAATTACAAGAGATTGAAAGAGATTATTAGTAAGTTTTAAACTGTGATTTACCTATTAGAAATACATTTGTAAAATTGTCTCCGTGTACTGAACAACCATCCCTCTCGCCCTCCCGCCGCCTAAACGCCTGAAGGAGTGTGACGTCAAACTCCGTCATCCATTCAATCAGCCGGAGAACGAAAGAGCGTGCAATGAGCGTCAGCGACCATAATAAAGGGTGGGGGAGCACCATACATGAACGATACCACAAATCGTGCCACCGTACCACATATTGTTGGGATGATAACCCGAATAGGTTGTTAGGCACTCCTTATGGTTATCGTTTATGCGGGTGTTTCAAAGCAATTTACATCTAATCAACCCTCTGTGCGGCCCAACCCGTGCAATGTATTTAATGTTGAGAGCCTTGTGTGCCTTATCATGAGTGGTCACGGATCTGGCAATCTTCACATGACTATGCTTCCCGGTGACGACGACTACGATCTAGCCGGTTTACAATAGGTTTTATACAAGAGTACTAGAATAGATCGGAGTATACTTACAGTTTTCGACGTTCCCATGTACTCCTTGTTTACCTTCAATACTACTTCCTTCTCTTGTTGTATTGTGTTTCTGGATAATGGATCCTCGCTCCGGAATGTCTTCAAAACTGGGGGATTTAAATCGCTCCTCGTGCACAACCCTTCCAGATGACCGAAAGAGCGCTCAGTCCGATTGGTCTCACCCGATATTCTTGAAATATTTGACATTTTGAATAAAACATTGCCATTTCGAGACTTCGTGTT